ATATTTAAATAATAGATATATTATACATATGACGACTATATTTAGTTTAAAAAATTTAGTGGACTTTTTATTTGGGTTAATTCTTTAATTAAAGGGATGCCAAATTCACTATTCAATATAGGAAAAATAATATTGTATAGCCGCTCTCAAAATAATAACCGAAAAAATATATATATTTTATATATATATATATATATATATATATATATATATATATATTCTGTATGTTATATAAAAAAAATATACAAATTTTGTCTAATATTTCGGCTATCAAACTAAAAATAAAAAAGCCCTTTAATATAATGAAATAAGTCCCTTCATCAAAGAAAAAAAAAAGTGTTTTTTGCTTTAGCATTTGTTTGACCTCTCTTCCAAATAGTCCAAAGCATCTCTCTCTCTCTCTCTCTCTCTCTGCTACTGCTAAAGTACTAAACTGGAGGAAACTACAAAGACCATTCTTTCCTCTAAACTCTAATTCTTTTTTCACAGCTAAAGCTAAGTCTTCAACTTGGGTTTAAAGGGTATATTGTAATTATTCAGGTACTTATCTTGTTGTTGCAATTTACCCATTTTACCTGTCAAGATTCAGTTTTTTTTCACCTGGGTTATTTTTTTTAATTAAGGATCTGATTTGGGGTTTGCTGAAAGTTTTAATCTTGATCAAGATCTGATTTTTATTTAATTTACCCTTAATCATGTTCACAGATTTGTTGGATTATGATGAATCCACTGTCTTCTGTTAAATTATGAGTTGCTGACTTGATTTACTTTTTATGTGGCAAGTTTACTTAGTTTCTTGTTAAATATTTTTTTTTTTTTTTTTTTTTTTTTTTTTGTTGGATTTTCTGCTTTAAGTTCCATGTATAGTGTTGTAGAATTGGCTATCTGGTTCTCCTTGTTCACTTTCTGTATCTTGTAGCTTTCCATTTATATCCTCTAAATAGTATAAAGTTCTGCCTGCAAATGTGCTTGAGAGATCTTTAGTTCATTCCCTGATTTGGAGCTGATCTAGTACTTAGCTGATCAGTTATGTCCAACAAATTCTGTTGGCTAGAACCCGAGACCTCTGGTTACACATGAAGGAATACTTAACCACCCCAATAAAAAACATAATTTGTTGGAAAAGACTGTTTACCCTTCAAAATGGGACTTTTCGGTGCAAATCCGAATATCAGACACCAGGTGGGAAACAAAGAAAACCACTATTTCCTCCCTTTTGATAGATACAAATGCATTTTGTGCTGAAAGTAACACCTTGGTTCTCAAAGATGAGCTTTAATCTTTACCAATTTTTAGGCTCTGTAGTCTCTTTTTAATGGTAATTTTTTGGTCTGGTTTGTAGGATAATGGCGATTGGAATGGCTGACCGAGAATGGTGTTGTGCTTTGTAACTTATTCTCCTATATCATTGTGTCACTGATGGCTTCAAATTTTGGTGCTAGACCTCCCCTTGAACCAAAAGAAAAACCTGTTTCGGCTCGACAAACAGCAGAAACAAATGATTCTAGCTCATTTCTTGCACAGGTGTCAAAAATGAACGAACTTAGCCTTGTTCTTTCTGATAAATTGCCAGAATCTGGTAAGATTACAACACATGATGTGGATGGGGCCATGAATGATAAAAAGTCAGCTAACTATAATCAAAAGGGGTCCAATGATCTGTCAATTGATAAATCTAAAGGTGCTCCCACTGATATTCTGAATGTGTTGACACCTGCGCGACATGAAGCAAATGGAACTAGAAGCTCACTTGAATCTTCTGCTGATCAAGAAAAGAAAACATCTGAGCAAACTAGTGGAAAGAACAGTTCAGGTTCTGCTAAAGTCAGCGATGGTACTAGTAGTCTAGCCAAAACTAGTGATCGTGCTGATTTTGTTGAGAGTGGAAAGAGCAGCATGTGTAGAGGAAGCAGCAGCACTGATGTGAGTGACGAAAGCAGCTTTAGCAGTTTTAGCAGCAGTATAAACAAACCCCACAAAACAAATGACTTGAGATGGGAAGCTATCCAAGCTGTCCGATCTAAAGATGGTAGCTTAGGTTTGAGCCATTTCAGACTGCTCAAAAGGTTGGGTTGTGGAGATATTGGGAGCGTTTACTTGGCTGAACTGAGTGGAACCAAGTGTTACTTTGCTATGAAAGTCATGGATAAAGCATCTCTTGCCGGCCGCAAGAAGCTTCTTCGTGCTCAGACAGAAAGAGAAATTTTACAATCCCTCGACCATCCTTTTCTTCCGTCTCTCTACAGCCACTTTGAGACTGACAAATTTTCATGCTTGGTCATGGAATTCTGCCCCGGAGGGGATCTACATAGTCTTAGGCAGAGACAGCCGGGGAAACATTTTTCTGAACAAGCAGTGAAGTATGACCTCTTTTCAGTTTTTCTGGTGATACGATTTTTCCTACTGCTACTTTCTGAAATCCATATTGTTTTACTACTTTTTCCGAGTAACAGGATCATTATTCTAGAACTTCCAGTCGTAGATCCATCATTGAAGAAGGCTGTTTCAACAAAGTAGTTTAGTTGTTGCTCTTATGTGAAAGTTCCTCTAATTTTGTTATCTCCAGGTCCTCCGTTTTGCAGTTTTTGAATATTGCCCTGAAGTTTAGGCCATAAGTTAGCAGTTTATTCTTTCAGTTCCTAGGATATACTCTACTGGTGTTTGGAGCAAGCATATTTATGTAGTCAACTGCACTTTGAACCTTATGCTGCTGTACGAGTGACATAATGCACAAGTGCCTTTAAATTAAAGCTTAGAGGAAATAACTACCCGCTTTCCCTTACTAAGGTTCTAGGAGCATCTTTTGCAGTTTTGAGAAAGTCTTGGCTCTCAATTTGCCTTTGTTGAGTAATAAGTCCGTTGCATGTGATGCCGTTTGTTTCTCATATTCAGACTTTTCAATTGTTTTTTGTCTCGCTACCAAGTTACCGAATTTCCTCTCCTTCTTTATAAGGAGATTGGATTCTTTCTCATATTCCGAGGATTCATTTTAGAGTGTAGGAATGAAATTTTAGTTCTCTCCAGCAAACAAAATTGTCCTTTGGTTCGACTAGAATAATAGTTTAGCTAAGAAATACAGTCTACTGCTTCCTGTGAAGAGAATACTCTTTTGCTATATCAAGCATTTTATTGACAATGTCTATGTTACTGAATGTTTAACTTTCTCCATTTTCAGATTTTATGTTGCTGAGGTCCTTCTAGCTCTAGAATATCTCCATATGCTTGGGATTATCTACCGTGACCTTAAGCCAGAAAACATCCTTGTTAGAGAAGATGGACATATAATGCTTTCAGACTTTGACCTGTCACTTTGTTGTGCTTTTAGCCCAACGCTGGTCAAGACATCATCCCTGGATTCGGATCCTCTGAGGAAGAACTCTGGTTACTGTGTCCAGCCGGCGTGCATTGAACCTTCCTGCATTCAACCATCATGTGTTGTTCCTACAACATGCTTCTCTCGTCGCCTCTTTTCCAGTAAATCCAAGAAGGATCGGAAACCCAAAAATGATATCGGCAACCAAGTTAGGCCCTTACCAGAACTTATGGCAGAACCTACTGCCGCTCGCTCTATGTCATTTGTGGGAACTCATGAATACTTGGCACCAGAGATTATCAAAGGCGAAGGTCATGGAAGTGCAGTGGATTGGTGGACTTTTGGGATCTTTCTCTATGAGCTCTTGTTTGGTAAAACTCCATTTAAAGGATCTGGTAACCGAGCTACATTATTCAATGTAGTGGGGCAACCTCTTAGATTTCCAGAATCGCCAGTTGTTAGTTTTGCAGCAAGAGATCTGATTAGGGGTTTACTCATAAAAGAACCACAGAACAGATTAGCATACAAAAGAGGGGCAACTGAGATAAAACAACACCCTTTCTTCGAAGGGGTTAATTGGGCACTAATACGCTGTGCTACCCCTCCCGATGTCCCTAAACCTGTTGAATTTGAGAGACTACCAATTCCAGCAGCATCTACAAATCATAAGACTGCTCTTGCAGCAGTGCCTCCCAGCCAAAAGGGTTCTGATAACTACCTCGAATTTGATTTCTTCTAGTAAATATTAGCCCGACTGGTAATTTTTCTGAATTGGTGGAGGACAAATCCTGAATTCAGGGATTGCTAGTGATCAGGATGGCAGGTTCTTCTTGTCAAAGTGGTATATGAGCAGGGTCACGTCGTCACTATCCATAACGGTGTCAGACCTTATTATTTGTGAATCTGTACGTGCTTCAAGCTAGAGCTGCCTCCCAGTTTTAGTCTCCGTATTTACAACGGTGTCTAAACGGTAAAAGGCAAGTATATTCTTGTTAAAGGAGGTATGCAATTGGATTACTCAAAATCAGTGTGGCTTTAGGTGATATGGCATGCCATGAACAGGAAACTGTTTTTGGCCACATGACTATAGTTAAGCAAGATGATTGTATATTGCTTTTGGATACTAGCTAGAGTTTGTATTCCAACCCAAAGGTACAGTATAGTGTGAGATAGTTTAGATTCAATCTCAAGTTATGCGTTAACCATACTTTTGGACGTTGGTGTATTTCCAGACATTTAGACCACAGTGAATTTGCTACCTTTTACTTTCTCCTATCTAATATTTGCTTTTTGGCTCTTTTCTTTTTTGCTTTTCCTTGTCATTCCTTAAATATCAGGCAATAATATCAGTATCTTTAGCCACATATTATTCCCTGCCCATGGGGTTAGGAAATGAAGGAGAGCCTTGGCGTAACTGGTAAAATTTCTGTCATGTGACCAGTAGGTTACGAGTTCGAGCCGTAGGTTATGAGTTTGAGCCGTGGAAAGCTGTGGAAACAGCCTCTTGCAGAAATGCAGGGTAAGGCTGCGTACAATAGACCCTTATGATCCGATCCTTTTCCAGATCCCATGCATAGCGGGAGCTTAGTGTATCGGGCTGCCCTTTTCATGGGGTTAGGAAATCAGCCACTTTTGCAATGTCTACAAAAGCAGCCATTGCTTATTATGATCTTAGCAGGAAGAAGTGAAAAATGGGAAAAATAAAGATTTACTTCTTTGTTAATGATACATTGGTGTATTGTTTTTTGAATGTACAGTAACTGTTAATAGTAACATGTAATTTATGGTATGATAAAGAAGGGAGATGCTTGTGAAAACCAGCTGTTTGGTGATAGATATTTACATCTTTCAAGTCTTTGGTAGGATACTATGAACTATAGATCTAAGACATGATCTTGGCTCCAAAACATCCTCCACATCCAATGGATTCATTCTGGACTTCTTGATTCTGTTTCTGGATTTGGCCTTCAATGGACGTTGCGCTGCCATTGGAGTTCCGGAGAGAAGGAGATTCAAACATCTGTAGCTCTACAATTTCCTTGCCTTCACATATGATCTTAACCTCACAGAACTCTGGTGCATTTTGTAATATCTGATCAGCCGTTCCGTTACCTCTTCTTGATCTCATTTTCCTATCAGATGAGTTTATGAGCATTATTAGGAAGATGACTAATAGAAAGCAGCTTAAAACTGATGGAGAAGTGGAGTAGCAGTTAAGTGATTTTTGCTCATACTTGAGATTAGCTTTAGAAGTACCAAGAATCAGCTTTCTTATATTGCAGATGGGAATGAGGTCCAGTATAGCTTTGGCTTCCATGTCACTCTCAATTAGTATAGTGTCCACTTTAACCTGTTTAAAGTGGCATACATATCATAACGTAATATTTGATCTATATACACAGTATGATTTTTCGGATTAGAGTGTTCAACTGACCACTCTTGAGCTATGCGGCTCCTAACTGTTGTTTCTGCAAGTTGCTAACATGCTATGGGCAAACAACAACAACAACAACAACAAACCTAGTGTTTTTCTATGCATGGGGTCTGGGGAGGGTAATGTGTACGCAGACCTTATTCCTATCTTATAGAAATAGAGAAGCAGTTTTGGATAGATCCTCGGCTCAAGGAAGTGAACATGCTATAAAAGAAATTATGTGTTGTTTATTTGTGCACCTTGGAAGCAGAGCAGATGTCAACAAACTTTTGGAGAAACTGCCTTCTCTTGCTTCTTTCTTGAGCCATATAGCTTTCCTTCTGCACTTCATTCACTTGGTGTATTGGCATCATTCCCACTGTTGTATCATCATCATTAAATATTTATCAAATTTGGATTGTTTATAGAGCACAATAAACTAAATTAGATCTGAATTCTAATATTTTTTCTTTTCAAGAAGGGAAAACGTAAATACTCCTCTGTTAAACGAACTATTTTAATTTTACCGTCTCTTATATTTTGAGATTATTTCTACCCTCGCCTTTAGCAAATGGTCTTGTATTTACCCTCTAACAAGACAGAAGAAGCTCTATCTCAAGTACAATAAATGTTACTTTAAACCATAATCAAGAGTAAATTTGGACATTTTTCCTGAAGTATAATGATACGTGGGAATCCAATCCATTTGTGCTGGAGTTCAGTTAAAGTCAAGGGCATGTACGAGACTATTTCTTGTGCATCTTTGTGTGTGTGTGAGAGAGAGAGCTTACAAGGAGTAGGGATGAGCTTACCTTCTCTTATATTTTGAGGTCATTTATACCGTTGCCCTTAGCAAATTGTCTCGTGTTTACTCTTTAACCCGACAAAGCTCTATCTCAAGTATAATAGAATGTTGCTTACTTTAAACCATAGTTAAGAGTAAATTTGGACCTTTTTCCCAAAGTATAACGATACGTGTGATTCACTCCATTCACGCTGGAGTTCTGTTAAAGCAAAGGGTATTTACGAGACTATTTCTTGTACATGTGTGTGTGTGTGAGAGCTTATAAGGAGTACGGATGAGCTTACCCTCTCTTATATTTTGAGGTCATTTATACCCTTGTCCTTGGTAAATTATCTCGTAATTACGCTCTATTTCAAGTATAATAGAATGTTGATTTAAACCATAGTCAAGAGTAAATTTGGACATTTTTCCTGCAGTATAATGATACGTGGGAATCCACGCCATTCACGCTGGAGTTCTATTAAAGTCAAGGGTATTTACGAGACTATTTCTTGTGCATCTCTGTGTGTTAGAGAGAGAGAGAGAGAGCTTACAAGGAGTAGGGATGAGCTTGGTTTGAGGAAAGATATGAATGAGGAAAACAATGGCAGAATTTGGATTGATTACACCATGTTTGAGAGTCCAAAACAATGCATCAATGCTCGACTCCAGGCTAATCTTGTTTGTGTTAGCAGAACTGTTATTCCCAACAACAACATAAACAATATCATGCTCTCCTTTATTGTTGAAGTCAAAGGAAAACAAACTGCCTTCCACTTCACCTCCATGATCTATTTCAAATAAATCACTTGTAGAATAATAAAATTTCTCCTCTTCTTCTAATTCTTCAATTTCATTGACCAAATTGTTGCCATTTTTTCCATTCATTGTTTTTATCGACTACAAATTAATGAAATCAAGATGATGATCCCACTTTGTCTTGTCCTTTGTTATTTGCTTCCAAAAAATTCAGTTTGAAAAAACTCAGACAGACAAGTGTAGGAAAAGGTTGCTACCAAGTGAGACATTTTATATAGATAAATTAATGATGTAAGCGAGCAATTTGTTTTTTCCCAAAGGTTATTTGTTTTAAAAAAGTGAAACAATGTGGGATGTGACACTTTAGCAAAAAAATATTTATGTCCATCAGAAGTTTACTGTTGGATGTACAAACACAGTCCCACATTGGTAGCTGAAAAGATTGGAAAACTATACATAACGTGTAGGAATCTCTTAAAAGAGTGTAATATTTTGAGAAAAATCGTGTAAGCTTGACCAAACAACGTGTATTTGTGTGACCAATTATTATGACTTTGGCGCAAAAAAAAAAAAATAGTTATGTGATCATTTGTGAATTTACCTTAAAATTAAACCCCTCATTTACCGAGCACTTTCGGATTTATAAGTCCCATATAAGATATTCTATTTCATGAGCTGGCTGTTAATGTGATCTCATTATTTATCATGTTAATGTACTTTAATTTCTCAAACAAAAAACAATTTCAAATATGAAAAAAAAATGTTTTGCTCTGTCTATAAAATCTTGTAAAATATAGATGATCTCAGCTCGAATAAAAGGAGGGTAAGAATAGCTTAACATTAGCATAAATATAGTGTAGATTATAATAAATCATCTAAAATAGATAAACCTCAACTACTTTAGATTAAGGTGTTATACATGTAATTTAACGTAACCCCTTTAAAGGAAAAGGAAAAGGAAAAGGTAAATACATACCTGTTTTGAACATCTAATAATTGGTTGTTGAACCTTTTATTAAATGTTAAAAAAAGAAATCTTTAATTAAATGTCAGGACGTTATCGTAATAGAGACTTCCAAAAGAATATGCGAATAGTTACCAGCATCTTGGCGCCTCAAGCAAACAAGAAATTGTCCAAAGTCAATGCATTTTGCTTATGATATATTTCTTCTCGATTATTTAATAAGTCAGACTAGTTGAAGCTTGTGTGAGAATCGCAGTGCTAATATGATATATTGACTGGAATATATTAATTGTCGGAAAAAAAAAAGTTTCGACAATAAATCTAATGAATACTTGTACTGGAATGCAAAATACTTGAACACTAGTAATTCGTTAATTCTCATGAGTGTCGGGGCCAAATAAAGAGGTTTAACTGAATCTCCTTTACAGAAAATTGTAATATACTGAATCCCATAGGCACATAAAAGCTTTTTTAATCTCCTTAATGAAACTCTTGCCTTAGCTACAATCTTCTCCTTAAACTACTATACTAAATATCGGTATAATTTACAATTTTTACATAAAGAGTTATATCCGGTGCTGAAGCTTTCCTTGCTACTGTTGCTTACTATCAAATTTTGCTAAAGATATTTGATCATCCCTCTTCACGTGTATTGAGATTCTAGGATCGAAATGAGATGAGAAGAATCTAGAAGAATGAGAGAGAGATCGACCGGAGAGAACAAATTGCTTCTTCATTTCATCACAGAATGAATGCTTACACGCTAATGACACTAGCTAATACCTTTTATACATATCTGACTAACTTCCAACTCTAAGTATCTACAGCTAATTAACCGACTAACAGTACTCTTCACTAAATTAGTTACAACTTTGGATTATGTACAATTAGGTCCCTAAAATTCCTATTTCTTCACGTTGGCTCAATACTCCCCCTCAAGCTGGAGGAGAGGAAAATGTTCTTCACTCCTAGTTTGTATAATAAGTGATCATGTTGTGTCTTCCCAAGACCTTTAGTCAACACATCTACTATCTGCTCATTCGTATTCACATATAATGTCTTGATTAAGCATGCCTTGATCTTTTCTCGAATGAAATGACAGTCTATATCTATGTGTTTTGTACGTTCATGAAATATAGGATTGGCAACTATTTGAATATCTGCTTTACTATCACACATCATGTTTACGGGCCTATTGAGTTCAATGTTCAACTCTGCAAACAATCCAATCAACCAAACTATTTCTACTGTTGTGGATGCCATACTTCTGAACTCTGCCTCAGCTGAGCTCCTTACCACTGTCTCTTGTTTTTTCGATTTCCATGAGATTAGAGCATCTCCATAGAATACCAGGTACCGTGTTACTGATCTTCTAGTTTGAAGACATTCCCCCCAATCTATATCACAGTATGCTCTCAGCTCCCTATTTCCTTCTGCTGGTAGCAATAAGCCTTGTCCAGGTGCACTCTTAATATATCTCACCACCCTGATAGCTACATCCATATGGGATTGTTTAGGAGCATGCATGAATTGACTTAATGTCTGCATAGCAAATGAGATATCTGGCCTGGTTATTGTGAGATACAACAACCTGTCCACAAGCCTATGATATTCTCCCACATCTTGTAGTGCTGCATCATGTGCCATGCCATCTGATGGACCTACTAGCTGATCAAAGTCAATACAGGTCGGTTTTTGGTTCACTTCAAGTGGAGTGCTTGCAGGTTTAGCTCCTGCTAAGTCTAGTTCTGAGATGAGTCCAAGGGCATACTTTCTTTGACTCATGTATATGACTCTATGTGACCTTGCAAATTCAATTCCTATAAAGAACTTAAGTTCTCCTAAGTCCTTCATTTTAAATAACTTTTGCAAATCTCTTCTAGTGTTAGAGATCTCATTAGCATCATTGCCTGTGACTATCAAGTCATCCACATAGATCAGCACTAGTAGTAGACAATTTCCTGGCTTCTTTGTGATTTGAGTACTGATAGTGGCTTTGTGAGAACCCCATCTTCTGCAATGCTTCTATGAGTTTAATATTCCACTGCTGAGAAGCTTGTTTAAGACCATACAATGAGTTATGAAGTCTGCAAACTTGATACCCCTTGCCTTGCAGCATCCTTAGAGAAACCAAGAGGAATAGTCATATACACCTCTTCATTCAGATCACCTTGCATAAATACATTGTGAAGATCCATTTGATAAAGAGGCCAACTTGAGTGTACAACAACTGCTATGACAGATCTCACAGTGACCATTTTGGCCACAAGTGAGAATGTATCAGTAATCTAAGCCTTTCTTCTAAGTATAGCCCTTGGCCACAAGCCTAGCCTTATACCTTTCTACTTCCCCTGAAGCTTTGTACTTGATTTTATAAATCCATTTACACCTTATGGGTTGTTTTCCAGCTGGTAATTGGACTAGACTCCATGTCTGATTATCCTCTAGAGCCTGAATCTCCTGTTGCATAGCTGCAACCCATTTGGGATCTTGAGCAACTTTAATGAAGATTTTGGGTTCTACTTCAGCAGAGTATGCTGCAAGGCACTTAGAATAGGATGGTTGTAATAAGAGGTAGTTGATGGAGTCTGAAATAGGATAAACACAAGGGCCTTGCTTCTACTAGGAACTACATAATCACTCATCCATATAGGAGGTCTGGACACCCTAGTAGAGTAGCTAACAGTGGAAGGAACTGCAGCTTCAATGTGCACCATTGGTGGAAAGCTGGAAACTGGAGACTGCAAAAAACTAGCAGGTGAACTAATGGGAGTAGCAGCAATAGAGACATCAGTTGTGGTAGTGGTCTCAGAAGAGGAAATGGCAGGACTATGCAGATCTTCTGAGTCAAAGGGTACATTGAGAGAATGTTGAACTGCAGTGGATTCAGATGGAGATATAGGCAGTGAGTCTTTGAAGGGAAACTGATCCTCTTTAAAAATGACATCCTTGCTCACAAATACACAATGATTATGCAAATCAAATAGTTTGTATCCCTTTTGTACCAGGGAGTAGCCTAAAAGTACAACAAGAATTGCTCTTAGAGAAAATTTATCATGCTTCTCGAGGTTTGCTGTATAATAAAGGTGACCAAAAACCCTCAGATGATCAAGAAATGGTTGTTTGTGAAATGCCAGCTCAAATGGGGACTTACCTCCTACGGTTTTGGATATAATTCTATTAATGAGATATACTATTGTCATTACACACTCTCCCCAGAACCTTAAGGAAAAATTGGCTTGAAACTTTAAGGTTCTTGCAGTATCTAGGATGTATCTGTATCTCCTCTATATAACACCATTATGCTGTGGGATGTAAGGACCAGTATTCTGATGAGTGATATCTGCAGAGCTTAACAAATCTTTAATTTGGCTATTTATGGATTCTCCACCATTATCAATTCTGATGGTTTTCACAGTAGCAAAAACTTAGTAGTCATCAAGACAAGAAAATACTTTAGTACAACTACTGACTCATCTTTAGAATTCATAAGACATACCCCAAGTATATCTACTAAAATTATCCACTAGATTGAGGAAGAACCTTTTACCATCATGAGTAGGTACCTTAAAGGGACCCCATACATCTGCATGACTAAGTTCTCCAAAAACATCACTTTTATTGCTTCTATTAGGAAAAGGTAGTTTGCTTTTATTTTTCCAGAGGGCATACATCATAATGATCTGTATAGTCAATGTTCCTTGCATTATTAAACATAGGAAATCTCTTCATTGTATCAACAAGCACATGACCTAATCTTCTATGCCATAGTATGCCACTTATTCTATTAACTAATAATGCAGAAAAAATACCATGTACTCATAAATCTCATATGAGTTGCCTTGAATAACCAGATCCAGCACATATAGATCATGCTCCAATCTTCCAATCCCCTTTCACCTTCCTACTGTAGATGTCCTGGAACACACAACAATCAGGAAAGAAGGATATGAATAATTCTGCATCCTTGGTAAGTTTTGATACTAACAACAAAGTATACCTAAACTCAGGTACATACAGTACATTCTTAACATGAAGGTTATCTAAGATACTAGAGGATCCTAGGTGAGTAATGACACTTGTTTCACCATTTGGTAGCTGAACTCTTCTCATATCAGTCTTTGAAAGCTCCACAAAATCTTTGTAGACATCCAAATTATAGACCATGTGATTAGTGGATCCAGAGTTTATACTCCATCTATCCTTTTTAATTTTGCTCAAAAGTGAGATAGGTATACCTGTCACATTAGCATGTGCT